GATGCTGGGTCAAGGCCTAGGCGGGGGGGTGGGGGGTGGGAGGAAATGGTGGGTGCTTTGGCTATGGAGGTGTCCCATTGGAGGATATGAATGGCAATACATCCAGGGGGTGGGGTGGGGGGGAAACCAGGGTCAAGGGTGACAAGGAATGATGTGTCTCAGAGTCGGCTGCCCTCAGGCAGCGCCGGCATGTCTACTCCGAATAAATCTTCATTGAGCTTTGAAAAATCCGGCTGGAGACTCCTGATGTAAATGGGGGTCACGGCCGGAGCCCTGACACTGGGCCTCGCTAGGCAGGGTAGCCAAGAAGGTCCCCGTGCCCTGGTCCCAATTGGGGGCTTCCGGAGAGCCTCTTGCGCTGCTTCAACAAGCCAGGATCCCCTTTAGGGCGAAAGGCCTCCCGCTCCTTAACTGGGCTACAGAGATTGAACGCTGTTTCCTTATGTCACGCACCCCTCCTCCTCCCCTCCTGTTCCCCCATCCTCCTCCTCCTCCTCCTCAGGATGCCGCAGATCCTGGCCACCATCATCCTCAGCGCTTCGGTGTCCAACGTCAGCCTCTCCGTGCAGCTGGGAGACACCCCACCCTTCGCCCTGGGCTTCAACTCCATCTCCATGGGTGAGTGGCCGGAGCTGCCCTCCTCAGCGTCCGGCCGGCCGGCTCTCTGATCACCCCAATCTTTTCAAGGGCCACCTGGAGACCCTCCCTTCCCACGGGAGTGCAGCTCTCTTAGGGGCCCCGAGTCCTCTTCCCTTCCTTCTCTACCCCTCTCCTCTCAACGGTCAGTCTGACTCGTGGCCAGCCAGACCAGGCCAGATTCTTGCTTCCTGCTCTCTGCCCCTCCCACCCCAGAAGACGTCCATCCTTGGATGCGGCCTTCCTCCGTGTTATCCCCCCCCCCCCGAATGCCTTTCAGACCCGTGAAGGTCTCCGAAGTTGCCGCTGCTTGCCCGTTCCCCATTTTAATTCATTCATGACTTAAGTTTTATACACTGCCCATCTCCCTCTCTCGGGTGACTTTGGGTGGTCTATAATAGACCAAACATAAATATAAACCCATGAAAAGTATTCAAATCCAGATTAACAATAGTTATAAACGTTACTCAAGTATGATTAAACATTGTTTTCTGTTTGAAATTAAATCAGAGGACCCCAAACGTGGCCACTTTTATGACATGTGGACTTCAACTCCCAGATTTTCCCAGCCAGCTTTCCGGTAGCCCCCTTTTCACTTCGTTAGATAGGTCCCATATTTGGCACCAGAACATTTGTCACTAAGCGAGGCAGTTAAGTGAAATCCTGCCCAATTTTACAACCTCTTTTTGTTGGGTTCCTCAAGCGAATCACCACAGTTGTTAAGTGAATGACGCGGTTCTTAAGTGAGTCAGCCTTCCACCATTGACCTTCCTTGTTGGAAGCAAGCTAGATTTTATTTAAAAGCTTTGAAGTTTTCATGAGAATCTGGATTTTTTTTTTCTTCATTGCAGGGCAGAGGTGGGGAAGCGGTGGGCCCTTTAAGGCTTGTGGACTTCAACTCCCAGCATTCAGCTGGCTCAGGAATTCTGGGAGTTGAAGTCCTTTCCCATCTCCTTGGCCCAGTAACACAACTCTGGTTTTGCAAGTTCTGCAGCGATACACCATGCCCGCTTCCCCCTTAATAATTGGGGTGGGGGAAACAAGACCCCCCCCTCAATGCCAAAAGCAACCAAGAAGGAAAAGAGCCCCCTTGTGGCGAGGTGGGGAGGGGCACACAAATTTAATAAATAAATAGAAAACCATAATAGACGCGGCCATCGCCTTCCTCCTCTGACTTAGATTACCAGCACCTCCGTCCTCAGAGCGTCCACCAGCGGGCTGTGCTGGCCGTCGACCACTTCTGCTGGCGGGTGGGGGCGGACTCGCACATCCAGCGGGCCCCCCACCCCCCGAACATGCACGTCTGGGGAGAAGCTTTCATCCTGGACTCCTTCAACCTGCAGGTGCAGCACGAGGCAGGCGGGGGGGTGGGGGGGGCGGCAGGCTGGTGTGGGGTTACCTCCCTGCTGCTCAACCTCATGCGCGTGAAGCACGCTCTAATAGAACTGGTAGTAAAATAAAAATGGGGTGAATTCCACCCCTGGCACGGCTCCATTGGCGCGAGCGACGGGCACTCCTGCGTGAAGCTCCATTGGCATGAGGACCCGCCACTCTCTCAAATGGAGCTTGCTTGCGTGGCCCGGTTCCAAACAGGACGCGGCGGCCCGATACTGGTCCAGAACTGGGAGATTGGAGACCTCTGGGTTATCTGGTGTGATGGGAGGGAAGGTCTGCAGGCGGGGGGGGGGGGGGGGGGGGGATCCTGGCTTTGACTCTCCGGCCGAGACCCCACCCGCTGCCTCTCGGCGCACCCCAGGGCCTCGCTG